TCAAACATTGTAGATCAAATGCGAGAATTAGATCGTGGTTGTCATCTTCTTGTAGCAACACCTGGTCGCCTTGTAGATATGTTAGGACGAGGTAAAATTGGACTACATAATTGCCGGTACGTATAAAACTAATGTAATTTTTAATTTTAAGTTTTTAATTTACCACGTATAATATTCATTTTTTCCTATTAGATATTTGGTATTGGACGAAGCAGATCGTATGCTGGATATGGGTTTCGAGCCACAAATAAGGCGTATAGTCCAAGAGGATACAATGCCTCCTACTGGGGAAAGGCAGACCCTTATGTTTTCAGCTACGTTCCCGAAAGAAATCCAAATGTTAGCGAGAGATTTCCTGAGTAACTATATCTTCTTAGCTGTAGGCCGTGTCGGTTCTACATCTGAAAATATTACTCAGAAAATTGTATGGGTCGAGGAACACGACAAACGTTCTTATTTGCTCGATCTTCTTCAAGCTAGTAACTTTTCAGATCCTTGTACGTAATAGAAGTTGCAAAACGTTGCGAAATATATTGTAGATGTTTGTAGATCACGCGAAAATTTAACTATTTTTCTTCTTTTTAAATTTTAGCTGCCGAATCATTGACTTTAGTGTTTGTGGAAACAAAAAAAGGTGCAGACATGTTGGAGGAGTATTTACATCAGATGGGATATCCAGTGACTAGCATTCATGGTGATCGAACGCAACGTGAACGCGAAGAAGCTTTACGCCGTTTCCGAGCTGGAAAAGCGCCAATACTTGTTGCCACTGCTGTTGCAGCCCGTGGGCTTGATATTCCACATGTGAAGCACGTAATAAACTTCGATTTACCGGGAGACGTTGAAGAATACGTTCATCGGATTGGTCGTACTGGTCGTATGGGAAATTTAGGTTTGTTTGTTTGTTTGTTTCTTTCTTTTACGGTACATTTTACGATTACTTATTATAAATTAATTTAATTTGGTTTGTGTAACAGGTTTAGCAACGTCATTCTTCAATAGCAAGAATATCAACTTGGTGCGCGACTTGGTATCTCTTCTAGTTGAAGCTAATCAAGAACTTCCACCTTGGTTGGACGATATGTTCAGTGAAGCAAGATATTCTGGAGGTGGTTCTCGTCGAGCTGGAAGTACTAAAGGTCGATTTAGTGGCGGATTTGGTGCTAGAGATTATCGCCAGACACCTAGCTCCGGATCTGCCCGTAATAATGGTTCCTCCAATAGGCCTGGCAGTTATGGGGGTTAGTATACAGGTTTATCATTATGTCCTAATGAAAATTTCATACGAGTAAATTTTTTTTACGTACAAGTCGTTTTTCTTTATAGGAAGTTATGGAAATTACGGAGGTAACTATAACAGTTCATCGTATAATAATTCTGCTAACAATGTCGGCAGTAATGATCCCGATTGGTGGGACAAATAAAAATCATTATCACCGTCTCTATTTTCACTTTTACCATTATTACTACTGTACACGTAAATTCAAATATATGTAAGAAAGACACGTACGACATACACATCGGATACAACACGCACGTATTTGCGCGCGTATACGTATACACAAGAAAAGACAGTATCACGTATAAACAAATCACATTCGCTGACTGCCTGTGCACTATAATTTTTAAACAAAAAAGAAAAAAAATAATTGTGTTTATTCAATTCCATAAATACTTTTATTCGCGTGCGACGAAACACGCTTGACAAATCCAAAATTGCAGCATTTTGAATTATCGCGTCAAGAACTATGAATGGAAAATCATCATTCGATACGAAAGAATAATGATCTCATTTCCCAGACAGAGAGAGAGAGAGAGAGAGAGAAAGAAAGAAAGTTAAAGATTTATCGGGATTTGTCAGATATAATAAAGATCCATCCAAGTTTCGTTGCCGTGCGTGTTGAAAAACACAAATAGAATATTGATTAATAAATCAAATGAAGCAGCCGTTAATGTCTAATTAGGGCATAACGCTGTGACACGTAGTAGGTGAAGAAACTTAGTGAAATTTTTTAGAACTCCTGTCGAGACTATGGGACACGTTGTGGCTTCATTAATTGAAATTTTTGAAGGACGTGGTAGGCGTATCTCCGAGAATTGTGGCGTCTAGAAGCTTTAAATGCACAAGTGCTTTATTATTCTCGCCTGAAAAGCCAGTATCTTGTGTAATTTAATTTAATAACAGTGGCGCCGGTTTCTTTTCTTTTTTTCTTCTTTTTTTTTTTTTTTTTTTTTTTTTCTTTCCTCTCCGCATCTATATTTGACTAGGCGCCTACGATACGCCATACCGCCATCGCCATAGATCCGTCACGATTCCTGTTTTAAATTTACTGTAGTTCAGCGACGAATGGTACTTTGTTGTTTTGCCGTCCCCAGACACAGACGACGTTGCGCCGGGCAATATCATCGTCTAATCGACTAAAATCGCGCGAAGCGTTCAATAGTCGGAAGTTTTGAAAAGGACACAGGCTACGTCTTAAGATACTTTTAGAAATCACGTTTGTATTTCTGTCACGTCCTGTTAATATGTAAGTAAGTTGAAAAGTCCAGTGCTGTAAACTTATTGCTTCTGTAACTCGGTGATCCGAGGAATTGTTTTTATTTAAAAGGTTTGGTAATTGTATTTAGAGTAGGCTGAGAGACTGTTTCAGCGAACGTCAGGTATATGTACCTGAGTTTTAACGTACTATAATTCGAATTTCTAAACGTAACGAAGACGTTGTCCTGTAAAATTGGTACGGTGCGTTATAAAAAATCTTAGATCGCAGTACTGAATGCGAGTGCTCTAGAACGAGGAAGCTTACATTAAAAGAGGAACAAAAAGGGGGGGGGGGAAATACGGATAAAAAAATATACGGTTGCAGTTACAGAGGGGAACTTCAAAAGAGATAAAGCGGAAACAAAAAAAAGCAAAAAACGAGCAAAAATTACGCTGTT